TATTATTACTTTGATGGTAATAATCTGTGACAGGGAGTCTGTTTTTTTTTCCAAATTCATGTTAAACACTCCCATACCTTTCCTGTACCCTTCCTCTATGTGAGTGTGTATGTGATACTGTGAAGTGTGAATGATCCTGACCCCCTTTTTCCCCCCAAATCACTGCAGTGTTCCTCACTGCAGTATGGAGTTGTGTTAGACCACCCAATAAAGAACTGATGTGTGTCTTTTTTCATTGCTTCAATGTAAAAAGCCTCACATGACTTTTTTAAAGTTTTTTAAGTTAACAGTTGTAAGTTACAGTATTTTGGATTTATATTAAGTCACTTTATTTGTTTAAAATACAGAGGTCAGAGTGACAGCACTTCGTGCTGCACGGTGTGTCCTGACCTGTTGATGTTGAATACAAATAGATTCCTGCCCATTCAAGATTATTAGTGGATTAAGTGAGGCTTCACACAGGGCCCTGCTAAATACATTCAAGAATCAACAGATTTTGGCACTTACCTTAAATTCTTTCCTTTTTACTTAAGCTCCCAGAGATGTGTCAGTCATTTTCTCTCAAAGCTAGGAAAACATCTACAGCAGTGAACGGAGTGGCTCCCAGCTGTACCAGAGAAATATGTGTGTCTCTAGTGTGTGCACTCTTCATTCTAGTAACACATGTCTTGGTTCAGGTGTTAAACACCAACGACATTATGGTCACCCTGCCAATTAATTTGACATCTTGGCCAAAAAACAGTTATGTTAATGATGAATTAAGGAAAAACATTTGTAGGTCCTTACAGGATCCTAGTTATAAGTTAAATTACACTTTGTAAGTATGTTTTTTTTAGTAATTAGACTGACATGATTAAAAGTACAATATCAGACCTTTAACTGAAAGACACATTCTATCAGGTTGCTTTCATTTCTGTGCTTCCCATTCCATATTTTCTCCATGGCAACTTCACTTAAACTGTAACAGAAATAAAAATGAAAAATAAAATTTGATTCCATGTTGTGTTCTCATTAAAAAGATGGGTTTGAATAAACCTTTCCATGCCCAGGTGTTTTCACTGGTTTGTATGGGAGTGATTCTGGGGGGAGTCAGGGTCTTGAGGTACATAGCTTTTTACAGGCACACATTCACGTCACAGTATTTAATAACCGTGGCAAGATCATCTGTTTTTCTTCAGATTAGAAGATTCCCTTTCAAACGTAAGGCAAGGGTTTTTTGTGTTTAGTTTGGCTGTGGAAAGCGCTGAAGAGCCTCTTCTTTCCTCCTTCCTCAGTATAATTAATTTTAAGTTCTCACTGTGTTTGCTTTAATAGAAGCACCACCTCCCTCTTTATCTGCTGAACTTCATTTGACATCTGTCTAGTGAGAACAAGATCATTTTTTTCTTGGTGCAAAAGAGTGTATACCGAAAGGATTTCTGCTTCTCTGGGTCTCTGTGTCACCTGCGTCACCTGACATTCACTGTTGTGTAAATTCCTTTCACATTCAAAGGGTTTGCCTCTTCCATGGCAGAGTTAGTGTGCTTATGGAGCTTTTGGAAGGAATTACTCTTACAGACAGGAAATCCTGAAAGATGCTGTCAAACACTTAATTAATTTGAGTTTTTATAATTTTTCATCCAGTACTTTTATTTCAGATGAGAGCGATACTATTCCTTATCTTAGAGCTCCCATGGAGATCAGTGATATCCAAATGTGAGCAAAAAAGTTCAGGACCACAAAAGTGTAAACTTGCAATTATTCCTTAATTCTTTTCAGAGTGCTGACTTTGTACAAAGATCCATATTTTTAAAAATATAAACAAAAGTTTTTGTGGGTCTCCTGATAAGTATTTTATGTGATGGTGAGAAGGGGTGATACAGCCTAACTAAAATGTTTGTTCTGGTTATTTAGTTAGTGCCCTGTTTCTGGTTTGCTTATTGATTCTCTTTAATAATGGCTTCTGCTTTTTTATTTTACTTGACTTTTTTACTGAATTCAACTGTTCATATTTAAAAAAATCAGATTTAATGTGAACTATATGATTACTGATTTGCTTATTTTGTATTTGAGCTGCATGCAAATGTTTTAGGTTTACTCCATAATATGGAAAACAATTGTTTTGACTGTGTACTGAAATGTACTGTATTTCTGATTAATAATAATAAGAAAAGTCAGTTCTTTAAATCAGGTCCAAAACATGTTATATTTAATACCAAAGGTTAGGTTCCTCTGAAACCTCAGGAAAGGAGTTATTACCTTCAAACTCCAAGGCTAAAGCCAAGAAGAATAATGGAAACCGAGCGGCGCTGCAGTGCTGAGAACACGGACTCACTGGGACCCGTTGCACAGTGTGACGAGGCCCCGGGGTCAATGGACTGCTAAGCAACTAAACAAACACCGCTGGCCAAAGGGCCTGTTCTCATCTGTACTTTATTGTTTAATATTTTCAATGTGCTTAGACCTCAGCCAAAACCACTGCAATCAGGAACATATCATTTGAAAAAAATATGTAACCATGTTGGATTTTTTGAAGACGTGATCCTGATTTTTACATCTAGGACTATATTTCTTGCTACATTAATATGTTTTCAGTAACCTTTCATTAGTTACAGCTGGCAGCACTACTTTTAGTGCACTGGCGGCACTGGCATTTTAGTGGCAATCCAGTTTTGCAATCCACTTTTACAATGTTTCAGCTGCCAACAAACCATAATGTTTCTGCATCCATCAGAGTAATAACTGAATTTGCCACATTTATCTTGGCACTCCAATGCCAATGTCCATTTCCTTCCAGCTGATTTATATACCATGTCATCTTCTGGAGTGATAAAACTTACCACTTCCAACCAGAACATTTTCTGGGCCTCCTCTTCTACAGTCCAGGTAGCCCTAACCCCAGTGTTATCCCTATTCTCAATTCTAACCCCAACCCTGTCTCTGTCCCCGTGGTGGTGAGCCTTGTTTCAAGCTGGAGTTAATATTCCCACAGTGCCTCATGTCCTGACCATGTCAATTGTAGCTCCAGGTCTTGTGTAACTCAGTGCTAGTACATTTGGGCCTCTGTTAGCCTTTTCAGTGTGATCCATACGTGCACACTGGTCGGAAATTGTTTGTTTCTTAATTAACTTTACTTTCCTAGTTGTTATCATGTAATTTCAGCTCACGAAGTATGATTTTAAGTTTGTTAATGAAAAGAATAACAAATACACCTCCTGTATTTCATTTAAATTGAGTTAAAGCTGTATTATCCCTTGGAGGACATTTGATTCATGGAAGAGTCCAACACAACAATACAACACAAACAAACATCACCAACAAAACATTCAGTACAACAGTGTTGCAGAGCATAGGAAAAGTTTCTTACATTGTTTGAGAATGAGATTACAGAGAGAATAGAAGAGCAGTCAAGTACTGTTACTGTATATCTGGAGACATCTCCCAGATGGGTGGAGTGTAAATTCACAGTGGAGGGACTATAACACATACTCTCTGTCTGTAGATTGATCTGTTTTTTCCCAATGAATTTGGTGTTTAATGTCACTATTTTTCCCTGCAGTACTGTTGCCAAACCAGCAAGATACAGTATGTTAAGAAAATGTATTTAATTTTAATAAACAGTATTTTTGTTTATATTTACTGGTTGATAAAACACTGGACATAACTGATCAATTTTGATATATTTGAAACAAAGCTGTAATTCAAATAAAATTCAACATCTCTTTTTGCACCAAACATTTCACATTGAAGCATGCTGCTTGTTATATAACATGCCTGCCATCTCCCTGAGAATTTGTGTTTGCTGCACATTTATTACCCACTTTCTTGTCAGTCTAGCATTTCTGTGGGTGTGCGATCAGGACCCCAGTGATCCAGAATATCATTATTTTACTTTTTAAATTATTTTGCTTAAATGATATAGGTTTTCTATAACTGGAAGCTATCCCTTGAGCTGCAGTGTGCTTTCCAGAAGGTATGGTGTGATGTTTAAGATTGTGCCAGTGATACTGACCCTATACAAATGTGTTGTTGTCTGTGCTCTATATGCTGGTTTTGCACTGCCACCTTCTCCATGTTGTGCTGTAGGCTGCATGCAGGAGGTAGAGATCTTATTGCTCCAAGGAGACACAATGTGATAATTGTATCAATAATTACCCTTCACAGCAAAGGGAGAGAAACTGCAGGGAAAGCCAATGTTTCGCATCAGGGATTACAGACTATAATCAATAGAAACAGGAAGGCTTTAGAATCAAGTGGCCAGTGATGGAAGAAGAAAAGCTGTGTATTCAAAAGTCAATTTCCTAGAAACGCAAATCCCGGCTAATTCAATCTTTGATTTCTCCAATTCAAAGGAGACAGTAGCATCACATGTTGAAGATTCTGATATGGTGCAATCACATTCGCACTCATGAAAATATTCTTGAATATTTCCAAAAACAAATAGCAAATACTGTAGAGAACAGAAGTGGCCTAGTATAGGGCTGAAGATAAAGCCTTGACTTTATTTTTAAGTGCTAATGTTGAACTGAAGGTTTGGTGTTGTGCATGAAGGTACTATATCAGTACACTTCCCAGCACCAAAGAACACCCTCAGGAAAGCAACTCAGAAATGACGGGTTTGTTCTTCAGCATGGTAATGATTCAAGGAATACTACCAAGTCTAAATTTCCTAAATGATCAAAATCTATCAAACATGATGTGCAATATTTTCTTTGGTGTATTTGCTTTTTAAATTTGAAGTTAATATAAATGAAGTGTGGGAGCATGAAAGAGAGATAACAATTATTATCTGTGTTGATTCAGACAAATTATAATTGCTCTGTTGACACCAACATATTTTTTCTTACTAATTAGATTCACAATAATATCTTCTAGATTAGTGAAGTGGTAATTAGACACTGATTTGAGTATCAGACAACCGAACTGGAACAGAGGAATGCACGTGTGTTGTTTTGTTTTCTAAAGCCTTTTTAACAGAGATTTCTAAATGTATTTAATTGGTTCTGTGTGTTATTTCTGAGGAAGAAGAGCGCCGCATGGCATCTGTCTTAGCAAGGAAGGAGGACGAAAAGAAAAGAGAAAGTCACAAGCAAGCTGTTCACAAGGTAAGCAGCACTTCGGGTATGTCTGTTTGTCCATACCTGCGTACTTGGAGCTCAAATCCTTATGTAAAAGAAGTTTCTGACTGTGAACAGCATCAGTTGCCATGTGAAACTGAATTCCTAATAGTTTCATTTGCATTTTGGGGGATTATTTCTCTGGAGGAAGAATATTAACTCAACATGCTGCAAGGTGTGACAAATATAAAATAAAAAAAATGAAACATCTTTCCAGTTTGTAACTATGCTACACAGCCCTAGTTAGTGATTTTAAAGTAGGCGCTATTCCATCCAAAGGCCAGTGTTTGTATTCATGTGACTGTGGTAGTAAGAGATGTCAGTGCGGCTAAGTGTGCTTTAAACCACTGAAATTAGTGCTTCGGAATTGTTCGTTTTCATCAGTTGATAAAAATGCCTTAAAGATCCTATGTGTCAAAAAACAACTATATATAAAATGTAAAGGACAGAGACATTTTTATTTGTATGGTACAAATGTTCAGATCATCATGAAATTAACAGTGCTTCAGAATTCTTTAGATTACAGTCCTTCAGATGTAACAATACTAGGATAAGCAAGAAAACCTGTCTTTTCAGTGAGTCACTTAAGCAGATCTGTTGAAGAAGAGTTATTAAAATAATCTCTGGCAGATCTGACTCTGTTTACACTTTTATACTCTGTTGCTGAGGAGAGTTCAATTGTTCTGCTTTCACAGCTACAAATCTAATGACAGTGCTCTTTACTGAAAAGGGAAAATGGTGGCTTTCTCTGTTAACCAAGTTTGAAATGGTTTGTTAGGCTTGAAAAACAGACTGGAACATCAATGGAGAAACAATGGGCTGTGTGCTTACAGGGACTTTGGGATTCATAATAGGAATAGTTTTCTCCCTTGACCTGTGAGCACAGCCTTCTAAGTCAAGCTTGGAAACCTGTTTTGTATGAGCTAGTACTTTATGAGATGAATGGCTCTGTTTTTATATACAGTATACACATAAGCTTCAATGAAAATTAACAGAATTCCAAAATCAAATTAAATTTGATCTTTCTGTCCTCTGAGTTCTCTTTCATCCAGTGGATGCCTTTATGAAGTACTGCCTGGCCCTGTGAATACAGTTTCACATGAACAGGGCACAGCTATTTCAAGTGCAGTCTAGCTTTCTATGGATTACTTTTGTGGTTGCTATTATTGCTATCTGTGCTTTTGTTATTAATTCTGGCATTCAGGAATTTGCACAGGAAACCCATGTAGTTCAGTGGATGTCAATACATATCAGCCAATGTGGCAACATGAATTGAACTGCAGTAATTGATCAGATTTTTCAATAGGGTTATATTTATGACAAACTCACAATTACCTTAAAAAACATAAATTTTAATGACAACACTGTTTAAGGTGGGTGGCTCACCTATCTACTTCACATCTGAGGAAACAGGATTTAAAATGTTTAAAAGTGTGTGCCATCTCAGTTCATATTATGTCATATTCATATTTGGCTCTATCTATTGCATGGATAGAGCTTTGTTAGAGCTGTTTTCACAGTGCTGCAACAATATTGCCCAATTGTCTGAGATTATGAATGCTACTTATGATAACTTATAAATGTTGTTGAAGAGGTGAAGACATAAAAAATATCAGAATAATCAGACATCAGAGTGAGATAGAAACTCAGTCCATCCATTTTCTAACTGCTTTATCCAATACTGGCAATACAAGGTCATGGGGAAGCGGGAGCTCATCCTGGGAAGCAATGGGTGCCAAGCAGGATACAGCCTGGATGGAATACCATTGCAGGGCACATACAGACACAAACGCTCACACACTCACACCAGGGCCTGCCAGCGTGTCTCTGGGCTGAGAGAATACCGGAACACCCACAGGAAGCCCTTGCGAACACGGGGAGAACACACAGTACCAACTACAGGCAGGGAGCATCTTCGGAATGGAGCCTGCAAGGCACTGTGCCTAACCACTAACCACTGTGCCACATGCTGCCTGAGACAGAAGATCATCAGAATATTTTCTACACATTTTCTAGAGAGTCTTGAACCTATAAAGAATGAATACTTTCACTTTTGATTTAAATTTAGGATTACTACTGACCTTTTTGTGTTCTGCAGTATGTCTGTAGAGCCAGAGATTATCTGAAGAATAATGTTCTATGTGTAAATTATGTTCATTCGTTATTGGGTAATAATGTGAGGCTCTTCCATTAATTAAATCTAGTGTTATGCTTCTCACAAGTGTGAAGAGTATACTTTAAGGATGACATGACAGAACATAAAGTTTAGTTTATGTTGGCACATGGTTGTTTAAACCAAATTTAAACAGTCGAACTGAAAATGAACTCATTCTAATTAAGATTATATCTTATACTGTACATCCACTTTACTTAAACTTTTAGAATAGTTCACGTTGACATTTAAGGTTTATTTGACTATCAGAACATTCTGTTGCAGATATGGCTGCTGGCCTTGAGGTTTGTTTACCTTATGACGAATCAATGTTTAAAAAACGAATTATGTTTTATCAAACGTCAGTCTGAATGCATTTATTATTTTCCAGAGCTTCATGACAAGAAGCACTAAACCATTTAAAATTCAGGCATCTTTATTGAATGTGTTAATTCTGTGTTTTAATTTTAAAGCTCTCTGTGTATCTTTGGCTCCCTGATCTGACTCCTAGCCAAAGGCATATACAGACTGGTCTTTAAACCACCTAACCAGTCACTACCAGGAGGATGTCTGTGGCCTGCCTGCTTCAGAACAGTTATTTTGCATTCAAGTCTCTCACTTCAGTGGTATGTAAATTGATCTGACAAAGGCATTGCAGGATGTGTTCAAAAGGGAGGTGTACGTGTCTACAAACCATTGATCAGCTTTGTTAAAACAATTAAAGTTGACCTGTGCACCAAAATTTCAAAATGCCAATATATTGAGACTGAGGAAATGAGACATTTATGAACTTTATGTTATAAACTTTAAGGGCAGTTTTATCATGAGCAAAAACATGAATCTACTTGCACCCGCCCCAGTTCCAGAAACAGGGTTTAAATCCCCCCAGTGTGTTGTCTATAATGTATTTTACCTTGTAATCTGCACTATCTGCACTTTGCACTATGTGTATCCTGTCTACAATGTCTATGTCAGAGTCCTGTCTGTCCTGCCTGTATTTGCACCGTGGACCAGGAGGAACGATATTTCGTTCCGCTGTGTACTTGTATATGGCTGGAATGACAAATAAACTTGAACTTGAAGCAATTAGTCTTATGCATTCCAACACTATACATTTTATATACAGTAGGTTGTTGCTGAAACCTGAGATCTGAGATAAAAGCAGCAGTGTGTGATTACCATGGCAAAAGAAAACAAAACTTTGTTGCACTGTATATACTGTAGCACTCTCAATGTCATATCCATCCACAGCATCATCAAACAGGTTTATGGAAACAAGCCCCTGGCCTAATTCATAGGCTTCAGTGATTTTCTGTGGTTTGGCTGGTGTGTTCCTGTTAGAACAGACCAAATGTTCTGTTACTTCTGAAGAGCCATATTTATTATTTCCAGGGGAGATTCAGTAACAGTGACATCAGCTGTGAATTGTAACACCTTCAGTGCTCAGATGAATAATTTGCTAGTATTGACAAAATGTCAGAAGTATTAAAAGAAATACAAAATGTTATTATGTGTACACCTTCTGGATGCTCCTATGCTGACTTTGTTGACCCATATCCGGTAGGAAAGTACCAAGGACTCTTTATAAGTATTAAACTGTCCTTTCTGCACAGGTTTCACTTTGTCATCTACAGTAACTGTACAAAATATGCTTGTACTGTGTATCACACAATGTAGGGTTTTTAAATGCTGTATATTCTGGAGGAAGTCAAACTCTAAGCTTGCCAGTTTCTGCTCTGCTGCATAAATCTCAGATCCCTTTGCACATCTTTTCTTGCCCTCAGTGTTCGCTCTTGCCAGAGACAGACCTCACCTTCCCATTTTCCATTTGGACGTCCATCCTGTGTCGTTCCTGTGCTTCCCCCCCATCCCACAGGTCCTGCGGCAGCTGGCCTCATCGCCTCGTCACGTTCGTTGCACAGATGTCCCTAGCAATCTGCACACCTGCTCCAAGCCAGGGCAGGGAGTATCCCTCTCACTTCTCTTTGACCTCTAGTTCTCCATGTTTCCTACAAAACAGCCAGCTCCCTGCTGTCACCATGATGTCTGCTCTTCTTTCCACTCTCTCTCCACTCTCTCCCGCTTGCCACAATCCCAGACTGCTTTACTCTCCTTTCTAACCCTTTTGTTCATCAGGCATCCAACCCACTGTACCTTTGGTCCCAGCCCATCTCTGGGTGTTTTTGTCTCTTGCCCTTCCCCAATCCTTTTTCCCTGCTCCTGGTCGCTGATGCTCACCCTGCTCATGCCTCTGCCCTGGTCGGGGCTCCTTGTTCACAGCCCTGTCAGCATCCAGAGCCGATGATGACAGGTTCCCTCCCCCCTGACACCCCCACTGGTGTCCAACAAGGTGTGGTCTTAGCCCCTGACTCCATACTACCCCCAGACATGCGCCCTTGGCCCCAGTGGAGACCCCCTCTCAAATGTACCAGGCTCCTGCTAGCTGCTAAATTTTGGGTTTCTGCTGGGAGCAAAAAATCCTTTCTGATTCATGAATTCTGAAGCCTGTCTGATCCGATTGCTTTGTGTGGATGAAAGAGGACTGATCTCGCCAAACCAAAATTTAACCTTCCAAATATTTTTAAATTTGCCCTTAAGCTCCCAGTGTACTGTTTTGCAGATGGTTGTTTGGGACATTGTGGTTTTATGATGTTTTTATTCACTTAAACCTTAACACTCAATTTAAGATTAAGAGTTCCTTACTGTAACATTTTCATCTCCTGATTCAGACTTCAGTGGCTGAAATGTAGAACCGTTTTTTTTCTTATTTTCAGTCTTTCAGCTGACGTTAATCTTGACTACAGTTTCTTGTGTAGAATAATAAAACCAGACCGAA